CTGAGGCCAAGCCCCCGCCCCCTGCCGCAGGGGGCCCTCGGGACGAGGTGGGGGTGGCCCCTGCAGGGCACGTGACCAGCAACAAGCCAGCTGCCCAGGGACACCCCAGGGTGGCCGAGCCAGAGCGGCCACAAGTAGCCGAGCGGCCAGTGCAGGCCACCGCTCTGGGGTCCGAGCTGGTGTTAGTCCCCCCTGCGGACATGGAAGGCTGTGGAGCGGGGGGCCTGGCCCCGGGCCTGGGTCCCGAGCTGCTGAGGCTCCACGAGGTCCAGCTGTGCCTGGCCCAGGAGCAGCTGCTGCTGGAGGACCGGCGGCGGCAGGTGCAGCTGCAGATGCAGCTGTGGCAGGAGGAGCAGCTGTGGAGGGAGCAGCTGTGGCAGGAGGAGCAGCTGTGGAGGGAGCAGCTGCAGGAGCAGCAGGCCTGGGTTCGCGTGGAGGGGCTGGAGCTGGCCATGGCCCTGGAGCAACTCCGGAGCGAGGGCCTTGAGGTGCTGCAGACCCAAGGCCAGGTAAGGGGGTGGAGGGGGGGCTCCGGACGACGCGTGGGGGTGTGGTGACCGTGCAGGCAGCTCACAGGTACCCGCCGAGGGCCAGCCGCCTGCTGCTGTGTGTGCTGCGGCCGGGGTGGCTGCGGGCTAACCGTGGGCCCGTTTTCGTATTTGCAAGTCGAGGCTGGTGCCCACGGCACAGGGCGCTACAAAGACCGTGCGACGGCAAGCCGTCCCGGGACATTTGTTCAGGGAAATTGAGGCAGAGGTGTTCCCACAGAGGACCCGGGTGTCCTGGCCAGCTGGGCCAGGACAGGTGGCTGCAGGAGCCGTCTGGGGCAGTGTCGGGGTACACAGGGTGACCTGCAGCAGGGCCCCGGGTGGACAGTCAGCAGGCAGCGGAAGCAAGGACATGCCTGCCCCCACGCCCCCAACGCGGCCTCCAGGCCTGCTGGCCCTGCCTCCACTGTTTACTGCAGTGTGTGCTCCCAGGGCTTGAGATCACAGAGGCAGCGTGCGGCCCTCAGCCTGTCATCCTCATTCCAGAAAGGCTGCTTCCTCAGACGCCGCTGGGGCTATTTTGGGAAACTAGGGTCTGACCCCGGCTTGACATGAAGAGTAGTCACCACCGTCCCAACCGTCCCGGCAGGTCATGCGCTCTGTGAGCCCTCTGGGGTCCAGGGACTTGGACCGCCCCCCCTCCGAGCAGAGGGGCCGCATCTGGGGAACAGGGTGGGTGCTCCATTATCCACCACAGACCCCTGGTGCAGGCTGGGAGCTGGAGGGACCCAGAACCGCCGCCGGGAAGGCCGGCGGCTAAGTAGACAACTCAGACGAACGCCACGACAGAGAAGACGACAGAGAAGACGTGGGACTCAGAGAAGGGAAGGACGAGGGCTGGGGGGAGGTGCCCCTGCCGACCCCTGGCAGGGCTGAGCCAAGGGCAAGCGGTCACCATTCAGCCTGGAAGTGGCTATGGAGAGGGTGGCCCGAGAGAGCAGCAGCAGGCAGGGAAAAGCGGCGGATGGCCCAGGTGGAACAGAGGGTCACAGCGGACCACACACTTAGCCTGAGGATCCCCAGCGCGAATTGTCACCGAGCTGTCTCAAGCTGTGCTCCTCCACGCACTGCTCCCCAGTCCCAGCCCGGGGGTGCAAGTCTCAGGGTCAGGGCCTGGAACGGACTGCTGAGCCCTGAACCCTCAGTCTGTCATACCCAAGCCCATCTCAGAGGTCCCCTGAAAGCCACTCTCAGGGGGAAGGGTCTTCTCAGACCATCCCCGGTGGCCGCGCAGAGGGTCTCACAAGCCGGTGTCTGAGTGGAGGTGCCCGGAGATCAGACTCACGTACCGGCAATGGCTCTCGGGGCTCCCGGCCTGGCTCCAGGGACAGATGTCTGCCGCTTCCCTGACGGTGCAGCTTTGGCACCCCCCTTCTTGCTGCTCATTTTCCTGGGGCGGGGGGCGGGGAGGAAATGTCAAGGAGTGTGTGCTTAGAGTGGCAGCGGCAGCAAGGACCAGCTTTGCGCACGGACTTGGGCCTGTGTGGACCCCCCCCCCTCGCCCCAAACACAGCTTCCCTCCGGCTTCCTGGCCCACCTGCCTGCCCCTGGCCACTGGCTTGTGTGCGCCCAGCAGCTCAGGGGGAGTGCGCGACAAGAACATCCAGCCACGGCTCACCCCCTTGCCCTTGTTCACCTGCTGTCTCCACACCGTGGCTCATCCGTCCTTGGTTCCCAGGCCCTGACCGGCACCCCCAGCACTGGGTGTCCGGAACCTACGTCCCTGCTCCAAACCACTGGGCAGCCAGCTGGACAAGCTTCCTCCTAACGCACAGCTCAGTCCTGCTCCGCTGAAGCCTCCGTGCTGCCCCCACTGCCCCCAGCCCCCCCAAAACACTGACACTTCTGTGACCCCAGCCCGCTCCTGCTTCCGCCCTGGCAGGTGTTCCTGTCAGGGCCTGGAAGCACTGCCTTTCTCCCTAGTCCAGGCGGCTGACCCCAGAGTTTATTCCCCCCCAGGAGGTCTCCTTGGCCCAGGCTGGGTCGGGTCCCCTTGCCTCCCCCCCATGGACAGGTGACTCACTGTAGCACTGCATGGGCCCTGGTGTGACCCCAGGCCCGTGTGCGTGCCACTTGCGCTGCTGGTGTCTCACAGTGTTTGGGGAAGGAATTAGTGAAACTGACCCAGAAAACGGGGTCATGTGGCAAGAGGGACACGGAGGAAGGTGAGCAGAGACCGGCAGGAAGAGGGAGGGGAAGGGGGGGAAGGGGGAAGCCTTGGACAGTTGGACAGGGGACCTGGCTCGGACACATGGCTGACCACAGGGCAGGGCCTGAGGGGGTGAGGGGACTTCAGTGGAGTCTGATGGGGGACTGGGGCAAAGATCTGCAGTGTTTGGGGGGGGGGGGGGGGAACAGAGGGCTGCTTTGAGGGTGTCAGTGCGTGCATCCAGGGGCCCCTGTCCGTGTGGAGTACTAGCAGGTGCCTGCTGGGCGGAGGACTCCCGGTGTTCGTGTGGGGTCCTGAACACGCGCGCGGGTCTGTGGGGGAGGGTCCTGATGCTTGTGGAATTGTGTGCGTGGGGGATCAGCGGAGGCGGGGTCCCCTGTCTGCATGTGGGGCCGGTGTGTGAGGGCTTCCCAAGTGCACGGGGCGTCTCTTACGTGTGTGGGTGGACGTTGGTGTGTGCCTGGGTAACAGGCATGTGGAGGTGGTGTGCATGTAGGGTCCCCTAAGCGTGCAGGGGTCCCCGTGGTGGGTCCCCATTGGTGCGGAGGGAGGTAAGCGTGTGTGGACCCCATGTGCCTGTGGAGGTGGGTGTGTGCAGAGGCCCCTGTGCCCGCAGGGTCCCTACGCGGGTCCCTCTGTTCTTGGGCGGTCCAACCTACATAGGGGGCATTGGCCTGGGAGGGTCTATGGGTGTGGGGAGAGGGTCTGTGTATGTGTGTGTGTGTGTGT